TGAATTTAGTAAAGAATATTATTTAATTTCTTTTTCATATTAATCTACTTAATAAATTACGGTACTCTTTTGTTATCGGAAAAGGATTCAAAAGTCTATATACGTATGCATGTAGCATACATAGATGTATGTGTTCATGTATGCCTGAATATACGTGCGAACATATGTATGTGTTTACACATATATGCACACAGAAGCATACATACGTGTACACATGCATTCTTGAATCTCTCTCGATAGCAGAATGGTATCTAAATTTCTTTTATCTTTTTAATTTATTAATCCATTTTATGAGTTATAAATAAAAAGCTTTTCAATAAAAATCTTTTTATTTCTTAATTATAACTCTAAAACAAATTCTTAATTCCTTTTCTATTTTGTTTCTAACTGGGAACAAATTTATTGTTTCTTTAGAACCAGTGTATGGACGTTATCGTAAAACATCAAAAAGAGTTCTCCCTGCGCTATTGAAGGTCATTACTTATTGTCGTCAGGGTTGGAGCGATGCTTGTCCCCTTAGGCATATAGGGGTAAAAGTAAGACAAAAATCAGGGGTAGCCATTCTTGACACATTTTTTAAGTCTAACAAAAACATGGGACGGTCCGTTTTCGAGGTTATATTTAAAATGGCAATATTCTGGGTCAAACCGTTAAAGGGTTAAATGTGAAATGATTTTTTGGTAGAAATATAGGTTGAATTTCATCTACATCTAATGATTTTACTAAACTGCTTCAACTCTTGAAGAAAACCCTTTCATTGATTATTGGATTTAACCCAATTTGGAATTTTGATACTTCCCCACACCCTCTCTTTAACATTTAACATTGAATTTTGAAACAAAGAAAAAAAAAAAAAAACTGCATGATAACTTAATCCAATAACAAATTTCATTTAGCATTACAAATTTCATTTTTTGTCGCAGGATCAATCAGTGTATTTTGTGACTTTAGATTCATAAAGAATTTAAATATGTCTGATGTCACTCTTAAAAGTTTACCATTCCTTAACACAGGTTGTAAAGGTTGAACACTGCTACTAACTTCATCAAACAATAGTTGTTATGTTACAGTGTTCCAAAAATTTTAGGCGAGTTTATTTAATCTTGGTTTAAGTATTGGGAGGGGGTCCATGCCATTACACTCAATTTCTTGCAAGCTCACTCTCTCTAATACCATGCGTAATTTTGTTGGCAGGGTTATCTGATCCAAGACAACGATACTACATACTTGGTGGTGATGTATTTTGAATTTCTGACACACAATTTTGTATCAAAATTTTCTAATGCCCTGTTGAGTTCTTTATCCATTGAAGCACAATGGGAGAATTGGTCTACAAATAAATCTTTGATTGAAGAAAATTATACTGTAGTGCACCTACCGCTGCTGTCATGAGTTCAAGTCTTGGTAATTTTTTTAGGAGAGCCACTATGTTCTTGACTGTCACTAAACTTGCTCCGAAAGTTCACATACACAGCTGTACTGTGAGATGAATCGCAAAAACAATGCAGCATTTCATCAACATCCTGAAAATACCAGCAAGGTATTTTGATATTTGGCAGATCACAAAATTGCCTTTACCATTTGGTCCACTTGTCTTGAAAGTAGCTCACACATGAAGATCAGTGGTAAAAGTGTTTGCGAAAAAGTTACAAGTTTACAGCAGTTGTTTACATTTATGAAAAGTTATGACTTCAAGAACATTTATAAGGGTAGCTAGATTCTTTACAGTTTAAAATATTGATAAACATGGTGCTAAAAATGTGAAACAAAGAGAAGTGGCAATGTGATGTGAAGTGCCTTTGGGGAATATAAAGAACCACCATTAATAATAATTAGTCCTTTTAAACAACCAATACAAATTCCGAAAGTGGCCTTCGTTTCACCAAATTTTATTTATTTTTTTTATTTTAACTCTATTTCTTTTAACCTCTATATTAATTTAACTCAAAACTGTAGTGGATATATTCTATTGTATTCATATCTAGAAAAAATTTCTTGAATGTATTTACTCAGATATGTGGAAATAATTTAGCTCAGAGCACCTGAGTGAAGTAAGTGCATTAAGAGGTTAATGATGGATTTCCCAGCTGCTTTAAAATTATTGGTAGTTTTGCTGGAGCTCAAGTGGAATGCAATGCAGTTAAAAAATTTCCAGACAAGAAACATGGTATTCAGTGATTAGATTAAAAAAAAATTGAAACAAATTACGTGAGAGTATGTTAAACTATGTTCTGTGCCTTCTCAAAACCATTAAATAATTTATTAGTCACATCCGCCTATATCTTTTAAAATTCAGTGGCAACTACATATAATGGCTGTTCTGGTCAACTCTTATTGATTAAAAAAAATGTAGATGAGTTGAATTCTTTATCATATGTAGTCGTACATGTATGACTGCATCTATGATTATTTCATCTATAAGCATCCAAGCACTGTTGATAAAAGTACTGTAAGAAAGTGTTTTAATATTATTAAAATGCATGCATCTCAGCCATGAAAATCATAGTTGAAAATTGTAATTAAATTTTCAACTAATTTCAACTAACTGTCAAAAATTTGTTCATTTCTTCTTTTTAGACATAAGATTCATGTTCCTCAGTGCAAAACTTAAATGCACTTTTAGTTTGGCCAATAATATATCTAAACCACCATGACAGCATATGCTATAAATTTTCCAAGAGTTAAAGGGAATCCTTAAGAATCGAACTTCTGGAGAATCCATGCAATTTAATAATTGATAGAAGGATTAAATGGAAGAACAAGAAGTTTTATAACATTAAAAGATCTTTGATAGCAAGATGAAAAATTTCTAAAGGCTTTATCAGTGACCATGGGAGAAAATCTTCTGTCAGTGGTAATTGGTTTCAAATATTTGAGTTCATAAGAAAGCAAAGATTCTGAGGAGCAAACTGAGTGGGAGAAATACATAAATATAAAAAGAAGCCTTTTTTGTTTACCTGTATGACGTTAATTTAGCATGGAAAGACAGACAAAAAGAAAAGAGTTTTTGGTATACTGTAGTGCTAAAATCTAAAATCAGATTTGGTGTGGATCATATGAATGTCTACGAAGGGAAGGTCATTGTCGGATTCAGTTTCAAAAGTGGACTGAGTGGCTGGGTCAATCAAATTTATAACGAATAAAATCAGAGGTATTCTTTATTACCATCAAGAAGCATGAAAGTGTTGTCTACGTAGCGAATCTGGAGATTAAAATGCAATTTCTGAAATAATTTGGCTTAAAAAAATAGTGCATATAAATGTCAGCATGTATAGGACTGAGGGGATTGCCCATAGCTAGTCTTTCAGTTTGGAAGTAATATTTATTTTGGAAAACAAATTGGGTTTGACTGAAAGGGACTTTAGTAAGAGAAATTATCTTTTCAATTTTAGTGAGTGAAATGGCATTCTCAAAGCCTCATTTTAAAGCATTTTAGTGACTGAAACATTAGTAAACAGTGATTTAGTTAACATCAAAAGAAACCATTATTGAGCACAAAGAAGAAATATCTTTAAGTTTATTCACCACTTCAGAAGAACTTTTTACAGTATGAGTATTGTTAGAAAGTAAAGAACATTATCTAGAAACTACATATTTTGCCAAAGGGATATGATGTTGTTCCTAAGTTAGAAAATAAATGTCAAAGGAATTTTAATTTTGTGGACTTTATAAGAACGTAACACCTAGCAGAGTTAACAAGAGATGAAATGAATGAGATTTTAAACTTAGTTGGGAGTATATAAGATGATTTAATTGCTGTTTTAACCTTCATGAAGTCAGAAGTTGAAGGATCCTAAGGGATCGAGCACTATGATCCTTCATTTATCAGTTTCGTCGCTCCGCCAGTGTATGCATCGTTGTCCATAATAATGATCTGTTTTTTGCTTAAATGCAAACATCAGAATATCATTCCCAGATTTATATGAATCAAACATATCTCAAATCTTCATGTTTAAAAAATTATGCACGAATTCAAATTGTCACTTCTTCTTCACATTGTAAGAAACATGTGCAAACATTTAAAACTGAATATGAACTATATTACCTTCATTTGAAAATTGCGAATTCTGTAAATTTTTCCTGTTTTGATCATAAATATTGGTCTACACCTGAAACTGCTTGTTATAATTCCATAAAAAAAAAAAAAAAAAAAAAAAAAAAAAAACTTGTTTCTAAATTCCCACCCTTCTTGTTAATCCTCCCATTGTTAATACATCTAAAATAAATCTTTTGGTGGATCATGTGAAAGTATTAAAGTATAACTTCAGTTTAACAGGCATCCAAACCTTTAACTCCTCAAACCATTGCTCCTATTGAAAAGGCATTTAAGTTCTCATAAATTTCAGAGATGCAAGAAGATGCAATCTGACGCTTAATTACTCATAATGTGAATTTAAATAAATTGTTTGTTTCGAATCTTAACCATAGGAAAGGAAGGCCTTATGTGAAATTCATTCTGATCTTAACATTATTATTTCCAGAGCTGATGAGGGTTGACAGGTCATTGTTATGGGCAAATACACATACATCGATGGAATCTCCAACAGAGTCACAGTGCAGATCTTTCAATTTCTAACTTACGAAAATTAAAACAGCATTTGAATCTTCTCATATACTGTCAACTCAGTTTTAAAAATCACTCATTCCATCTGTTGCTGTTTGGGCTAGGTTTATGTTCTACCAATAAAATTGGAATTCTTTTTAGATCTTGAGTTTCTAGGGTTTCTGATTTACTTTCTAACAATATTTTGCATGTAAGAAATTTACTTGATGTGCTTGATAAGCTTAAAGATATTTATCCCCTGCACTTTATTATGGTTTCTTTTGGCATTGAAGCGCTGTATACTAATGTTCCAATCGAAGAGGCATTAAAATGTCTTGAGACTTGGCTTCAGTAATTCCATTTATTGAAGCCTAGTCTCAATATATGTTTTTTGCTGTGAAATCATTTTTTAATTATGATTTTGTATATTATAATAATGCAATCTGTGTTTTTTCAGCCGGATTCATACAGTGATAGATATGTTCCACTGATTACTGCCATCAATCGTATTCAGGTAATATCTATTTTATCTCATTATTATTGTTTTATTTCATTTTGTTGCATCAGTTTTCATTTGTAAATTTAACATATTGAATGTATATTTCACTAAGGTACTTAAGTTTCTCTGCCGGTATTAATGGTTTTATAAAGTCATCGTGCCTTTTGGCTGGAGGAGGTAACAGATTAATCCTAGGTTAGCACATGAATGATAAATGTTAACTGCATGCCTATAAAAAAAGGCATATGATTAAAAATGTGCCGGATATGCTGAGTTAGAAAAAAAAAATCTTCCATATCTTTGTTAAAAAGATAAAGTATGTAGTTTTTCTTCCAAATCTGTTTTTGCCTAAAAAGTTAGGATCATTCTATAATTAAAATACCTTGATTGTAGTACTCTAAGCAAAGTCTGGCCTATAGTATAAAACTTTTACGTAAACCACAATTAAGATTTAAATACTACAGTTATTAGTTTAAAATAAACTGTTCGAAATCTCTGGATAGCAAAGTATCGTGTGTATATAATCTATGCAAATAAGCTGAAACATTTTAGAAAAGAAATTTATTGAGATTATATTTCATAATTAATGTTTTGCAAATGTTAGGCTAAAAAAAAAAAAAAAAATTTGAGGCATAGTTTGGAACTGTGTAATGTCAAAATATTGTCATTTATTTAGCTCTCAGATTTGTATGCAGATAGTGATAAATTTCTGTAAAATATAAGCTTGTTTAATCTGAAGATCTATTGAACTTAAGGTTTATTAATGAATTAAAATTTAGAAAGCAGAAAGAAGTCTTAAGTTGACATAGATTTCATATAAAACTCTTAATTTCTAGACTGATAAACCATATAAATCTTTAGGAGAAATAAAATTTTAAGTAAAATCCACCAGTTTTTATTTTAAGAGGGGCTTAATTTTGCATTTTACACGGAGCCTAACATTTGCAAAACTGGTGGATTTTACTTAAAATAAAATTTTAAGTAAAATCCACCAGTTTTTATTTTAAGAGGGGCTTAATTTTGCATTTTACACGGAGCTCATCTTCCATATAGAATTATGAATGATTTTGAGAGTTATGTCCCCATTTTATGCCGACACTTAACTGTTGCATATTAATATTTTGAAGTATTTTTTTAAAGTATTTTGTGATAATAAGCGTAGCTGTTGTTTCTTAGTCACTTGTCCTCTTCTCTAGAAGGGAGGATAGTTTCTTCAGGTATCACTGCATATTTTGCATTAAAACTATAGTTACATGGCAGCAGTCCCCCCCCCAATTCAGTAAGGCTTGTTATCTTTTATTTTTTCATTCATTCAATAAGGCATAAACATCTATATATATATATATATATATATAGTGATCTGTGTATTTATATGGAATTTGGTATCAATCCCTTCTCCAAGTAATTGTTACTTATACACTTTTTAAGATTTTTAATGAAATGGCGTTTAAATAAATAGTTGTTATTTCGTGTTCCGGAAAGCTGTGCAGTTTTCTGATAAATACAAATGAAGAAGTACAGAAGCATAAGAACATTTCATCAAATCGCATAAGCACCATTTTATTCCATGACTTTTTGCCAGCTCCGCTAACTGCACATTTCCTTTTAAAAAAGTCATTAGGTTTATTCGTAAAGAACTAATCTCTACCCCATTTAGAAAACTCTATAGTTACTTAAGGAGATAAAAAGAAAAATTAGCAACGCCTTTGGGAGTTGAACCGCGGACCTCTGGAATACCAGCCCAGTGTGCAAACTGCTACACCACAAAGGCACGCTAGGAAAGTGGGAGAAATACCTTATAAGTTGTCTGATTTGGTGACAGAAATTTATATTATACAGATCTTTTGTAATCCCACCAAACAGAAAGCATAACTTTTGGGGGATGCAACCCCTTTTGGATTTTACTGAATATGGTTCTTATAGCATTACAGTCAAAAGTCATTAATTCAGACACCCATAATCCGGAATGATCTATAATCCGGACCTCAAAGCTACAAACTTTCTGTGCATGCGTCGCATTGACGCATAAGACATTTACGGCTGTGAATATGCGTGTGCGTATGCACGTTTAACATATAACGGACGCTATAAGCTAAGCTAAAATTATCTAATTCAGTTAATGTTGCAGATTGCATTGTTCCTTAATCTTCAAATTGGATCCGGCTTATTGTTTTTTGCAGACTGTTAGAGCAATTTTATAAAAGTAAGTTTGAACTTTCGATTATGTCAAATAGAATTTCCGATATATATTTACTAATATGTAAAGGATCTACAAAGCGAAAGTATGTTTCGAAGTCCATTAAACAAAAAGTGGAATTGCTGCAAAAAATGAATAAATGCATATCCTTTGTTTCTCTAACCATTTCGAAATTTGTTTATCAATTTCACACTGCTCTGCGGTCGGGGGGGGAGGACGCTGCGGCACGCAATGAATATGAAGTTGATCTGTCAGCACTATCCTTAGCTTCAGGGCAGATGTTTTTATTTTATTTCGCTTATAATTCCTTACTAAACGTAGTATTTCATTTCGATGTACTCCGCCTATGATATGATTTAAATCAAATTCCTCGTCATTATAATTCGCTTCCGATAGTGAAGAAAGTGACCCAGAGGTTATTGAGAATGAAAAAATTTCGATTGACAAATTAGTCGGTATTGTTGACACAGCAATTATAGGACTTGAACAGCGGAACTTTGTAAGTGAACAAGAAATTATGTCTGTTTATAGAATTAAAGAGAAAGTATTATCGCATAAAACAAAGCAACTTAAACGACTTACATTGAAAGAAATGTTTAATAAAGTAAACAAATAAATATAGCATTACAGTCAAAAGTCGTTAATTCAGACACCCATAATCCGGAATGATCTATAATCCGGACCTCAAAGCTACAAACTTTCTGTGCATGCGTCGCATTGACGCATAAGACATTTACGGCTGTGAATATGCGTGTGCGTATGCACGTTTAACATATAACGGACGCTATAAGCTAAGCTAAAATTATCTAATTCAGTTAATGTTGCAGATTGCATTGTTCCTTAATCTTCAAATTGGATCCGGCTTATTATTTTTTGCAGACTGTTAGAGCAATTTTATAAAAGTAAGTTTGAACTTTCGATTATGTCAAATAGAATTTCCGATATATATTTACTAATATGTAAAGGATCTACAAAGCGAAGGTATGTTTCGAAGTCCATTAAACAAAAAGTGGAATTGCTGCAAAAAATGAATAAATGCATATCCTTTGTTTCTCTAACCATTCCGAAATCTGTTTATCAATTTCACACTGCTCTGCGGTCGGGGGGGGGGAGGACGCTGCGGCACGCAATGAATATGAAGTTGATCTGTCAGCACTATCCTTAGCTTCAGGGCAGATGTTTTTATTTTATTTCGCTTATAATTCCTTACTAAACGTAGTATTTCATTTCGATGTACTCCGCCTTTGATATGATTTAAATCAAATTCCTCGTCATTATAATTCGCTTCCGATAGTGAAGAAAGTGACCCAGAGGTTATTGAGAACGAAAAAATTTCGATTGACAAATTAGTCGGTATTGTTGACACAGCAATTATAGGACTTGAACAGCGGAACTTTGTAAGTGAACAAGAAATTATGTCTGTTTATAGAATTAAAGAGAAAGTATTATCGCATAAAACAAAGCAACTTAAACGACTTACATTGAATGAAATGTTTAATAAAGTAAACAAATAAATATTAAGATTTTTTTTTTGTAAATTTTGGATACTCTTTAGATCATAATTGTTCTTTATTTAATAAATTACGGTTTCATATTTTTAATTTTATAATTTCTGCATGCCATCTTACTAGATTTAAACTGATGATCTACAATCCGGAAAAATCGATAATCCGGAATCTGCGAAGTCCCGACGAGTTCGGATTAAAGACTTTTGACTGTATTGTGTATTATCCACTTCTCATCTAAAAAATTCAGCCATTTAGAAAAAAAAAAGGGGGGGAGTTTTGTTATATGACTATTTACTGAAAAGCAAAGAACTGCATACTGAAATACAAGAAGGCAAATTCTACTCTCTTAAAAGTATGGGTACTTGCCCATAAATTTTAGCAACTTATATATCCAATTTTCTCCAAATGATTGTGCCCTGTACATATTTAATCTGTTTGATAGTTCCTGAACTGCATAGTATAGATTCTCAACAATGTCTTCTTGTTATAGGTCCTTCTGTACAAAGAATAGTTGTAATTTTTAAGATGAAATTTCCATGTTTAAACTTCTCAAATTACCTCCAAACTGTGTCATCAGAAACAGCATTTTGTTTCACAAATTTTATGAGCAACCTCACTGTAATTTTTCCTTTACTAAAATAAAGGAGCATAATATGATGTAAATCAACTTTGGGATTTACCTTTAACGCTGCACTGAAACAAATATTATGTGACAACATGTGCTAGAATTACAAGAAAAGATCATATTTAAACATGTGCTTCAATATAGGTCACCTCTTATTAGCAGTAAGCCCACCAGCGGCCGAGCGGTAAAGTCACTGAACACTGGTAGTTCTGTCCGAGGTTCGAATCCCGCGAACGGGCTGGCTGCATGGGCGTTTTCGTGGTTTTCCCCATGTGTGACGTGTATACGAGCCAGTTTCCCTTAGAAAGTCCTCCACGAAGGCATCCCTCCCCTTAGGCAGATAGCCCTCGTGTGCTTTGCCATAATTAAATACACCACCTTATTAGCAGTAACAGTGAAAATGTGCTTAGATTTGAAAAACCACAGAACTGTCTGGAGGAGCCAATAGGGTTAATTACATGTGAAATTTCATTTGAAGCAGGTAAAAAAAAATATGTTCAGAGTGTTTTCTCTCCTCATACATGTGCATCATGTCTTGAATAACATTTATGTTAGTGGTTACACTGCACATCAAAATTAAGAGAGAATGTGAAAATATGCTTACTGAATAAAGTTTTCTACTAACATCCAGTGATGTGTTTATGCTCTTTATCTGCAAGTAAATGCAAAACTTTGCTTCAGCATGTAGGTTAGTGCCTGAAATATGCAAATAAGGCACCTGACACTATACTGCACAAGGAATGCATATTGAAATTAGGTATGCACTGTTTAATTTTAATGTGGTTTGTTTCAGAATGTAATGAGTGTTCATTAGCTACACTTCAAAGGTATCATTTATATAAAGGACAAAAATATCAGTTAATTAGTAGACTCAGGGAGATAGACAAACACAAATTGTGGTCACCAAAAATCTGAATATCATTTGAGGGATATTTAAGTGTCATACTAAGAATGTGGAACTGCTGAATTAAGCAATGAATGAATTAGTAGGCAGCCTGTTCAATGATGGTAATGGGCAACAATTGTGTTCAAAGTATCTTTTTTCTTGTTATCAGTATGAAGAAAGTGTGAAATTATTTCAGTGTTGGTTTAGACCTTCAGACTGCCACGAGAACTTAAATCAATCATTTTACTACTGCACAGTGATTTAACGAAGTTTGAATTTATGTGAGAAAAATAAATTGTTTATGGCTCCTAACCCTCTCACTTCATCTTTCAAAGGAGCCAATGTAAGCCAAGAGGAATAGGATCATGCATTTTTACTAAAGTGTGCAGATATGGCTGGGCTGTAATTCTAGGTATGTTTTTATCTGAAAGGAATGAGAAATGCATAATTTGTTTTCTCTTGTTCATGAAAAATCCTATTTCCATAGAAGTGTCATTTGTTTGAAGTGGAATTATCAAAGATGGCTGCATTGAGATGTGTCTTTGATGCAGGTTCTTTAACCAGTCACAGATATGTAGATGGACCTCAGAACCCCATGCAAGGTTTAAGGGTGCTGTTTGCCCATGTATTAATGCTTGTTTATAATATAGTATGTATTAATGCATCAGAATAAAGAATCTCTGATGCTTGAATACCCGAGAATATGATATCACTTGACAGCAGAACTTGAAGGAAACTTCTTGAAAGATATTTGTTTTCAGTAAGTTGATTTGGCACCCTGGCTAAAAGAAAAAATACTGCATTTTTGTCTTAAGCCTCATGCAGAAGCCAATATGCAGTTTGATCGTGAGATTTTAAATCTTTTCTGTATTAAATAAGTGCAAAAGTTTTAATTTATGATGGCACACTTTTTCTTCTCTAATTTTGCACTGCTGTTTTGAACAGCCCATTTTAAGTATAAGAATTTATGTTCTGTATTAAGATTTTCTTCTGGATTAAGTCTGAAACTAATAGACTCACATAATTGTTTTACATGTTAAATTGGATTCTACATACACTAAAAAGGAATTGCACTTACCAGTACAATTTCTTTTTAGTGTTTATTTTTAAACCTTATTTCACAGCTGCCAACACTCCCAATTTTTCGCCACATCTCCCAATTTTTAATTTTTTTAGCCTTTTTTTAAGTGATATTTTTCCAGAAGTAAGTGGAATTTATTGAGTTATTTAGACTTATGTTAGGCAAATTCCATCCATCCCAGGTGTTATGTGAAAATTCAAGCGATATTTAATCAACTTATATGTAATTCTGTTTTTTTATTTCAATCTATAGTACATTACTAGGCTTTATCTATACAAACATTTTGAACACTAATTAAATAATCTTTTCATTGTATTTAAAAGTACTTCGCTGAGTAAAAGCTTTCTTTTACTATTCAGGACTTTGAGCATAAAATTATAAGAAAATTAAATTTAAATTAACCAAAGCACATGAAACTTAAAATATCCAATTAGATGCTAATATATTTTATACCAGAATTGGATTACAAATAGTTCAGTAACCTGAACTATGCCTTATAAATTGAATTAAATTCAGTTCGAAATTTCTTTAAAAAGATGTTGCCAAGCAGTGTGAATTTTTTTTTTTTTTTTTTTTTTTTTTTTAAATTTTTCCTGACTTTTAAGATTTAAATGTTGGTAGCCATGTTATTTTTTACTTTTTGAAATTAGTTGTAAATTCTGTGAGCTGCTTGGCTGTAATCCAAAGTTTTCAAATTTCAGTATTTTATTAAACAGTAATTTAAATATCAGCCAAATGAGATACCCCGTAAAAGTTGAAAATGTTTTATTGATTTTTTACATGCCTTTTTTTTTTTTTTTTTTTTTTTTTTTAGTATTACATCACTTTCTACTTGTATAATTGCAGGACTTAAGAAATCATAACAGACAGTGCGACGAATTTTTCAATCATATGTCTGTTGTTTCTGAATCGATTGATGCATTAAAATGGATTCCTGTTGTAAGTAATTCTAGTTTTAGTTACGAAGCTTGTTGAGCATGAACTGCGTAGTGAAATTTTTAATACTAGGATATCAAATGTAATCAAATAATTCAGTTTTATATTAGTTTTTCTTGATCAGAATTCTCATGACCCTTTGACTAGTTATGGAATAACTTTTAAGGATTTGACATTTTATAATATGTATTACACTAGAATAGATCTGTTTTATACTTCTGATATTTTTCATTAAATATGCTAAATTTTCTATCTGTAAAATGGTTAGTAAAAAGGATTGAGCTGATTCTTTTGCTTTGGTTTCATGCTTGAACTTTTAAATTTTGATGTAAAATTAAAAGAGAACATTTTAAAGGTTTTACTTCAAAATTTTGTATTTTTATTTCTAATTTTGAATTATTTTTCAGAATATAAATGAAAACATGATTCATCAATGTATTACCAAATAAGTCTCTGAACATTAAAGATTTTCTGGATATTTTTGTTTTGTGCAAGTGTCTACTCTGTGCATTGAATATACCATCCATTTGTTGTGGTATATGCAAAATTGTTTTGAAACTTAAAGTTTGTTAGCAAATTTTTTGTTTAAAATTTGAGACATTTATGTACCTTTATTGTTTTTACTTATTGGTTGTTTTACTTAAGTTTTTAAAGCTTGAAAAAAAATTAAATGCATATCATTTATTGGCTATTGTTTTTAGCCAATCATGTATATGCAATTCTAGAGTTTGTGGAAGAATCATACTCATTTCTGCTTGGCTAAGCAGCTAAGCTAGTAGGAGCATTGGTTCTTAGGTTTCTGTTTTGTGGTTGAATGAAGTATTTATGACTTTTCATGCATATAATATAAAACAGAAGCCATGTTATACTTCTCCTTAATGAAATAATCCAAAATTCAGATTTATTTCCTGAGGGCTGACTGTGTGAGTTTGTCATGATTTTTCTAAGAGTGAGCAAAAAGAGACCATTTTCCTCAGAATTCTCAAAAAAGTCCTCAGAGAAATCTTTTAAAAGGGTATCCTGTTCTTGTCATACAGGTGCTCATTTTGTTCTTTGACATAATTTAAAAAAAAAAAAAAAAACTGAATCCCCAGAAAATTCATAAATTTTGTCTATAAAATAATGTTTTAGTGTTCTAGTGTACAGTTCATTCACATTCTTACTTTTATTGATTGAAATCCTTTAGTTGATAATTTGAAATGTTTCAAAGATAACCATTATTGTCTCTAATCATTTTATTAAGGATCTCTAGTACACATGATGGAACTGATACTAGTATTTTACATTGGCAGTAAAGAAACTTGTCATTATCTGGCCTTTGTTTGTAGATACCATGTAGTCAATTTTAAATTACCTTTAAAACAGTTGTTTTTCTGTGCATACCTACAGATGGAGTACAAAATAATGAGAGCACCTGCAGAGAGTATAACATAAATGTTAATTTTACAAACCTAATGTTCTGAAAGTTCTAAATCGCAAAAAGCTGACTATTGGTTCAAATTTTCATATGCTTCTTTAAAATCGGCAAAAAAGGACAACTTTTCCTTCCACTCGCCTTCCAAGGAAAATGTATCCGCCTCGCGAACAGGGTCAAATATACCTTTATTCAGAATCATAAATGTAAACATTTAAATTCCGTTACAGATAACAAACATCACTGTATGGTGTGTTCATTGTGAAATTCATTATACAAAATCTCATTTTATAAAGTAATGTAATTACAATTTAAAATGGCAGTCAAACTGAGAATAATCACTAAAAATGTGCAGCCACACTGAGTAGGTGAATATCTAATTGCAATGGTCTCCAAAGCTAGACATTTAAAAACACTTGGTGTAGCATCTCTCTTTCCGTGGATGGTTTCCACTGGACCTATCCTTGCATTGACATTAATCACCTCTGTAGGGTTTCTGTTTGTGAAGAGTGGCTGTATGTTATCTGGAATCTCAAGCTCTTTCTTAATGTCCAGGACTTTTTGAATAAATCCATATTAGGTTTTTAATTTCCTAGGTTTGATTAATGTATTCCCTCCAGTAGGGATCCTCCATCCGCAGTAGCTATTTACCAAGAACCAAGGCTCTCATTTTCATAATGTCTTGGAAGGGTTTTTTTTTTCCCCCTTTCAACAGTTCAGGGTCTGTACAGTCTTCAAGAGTCCTTAAAAGTCCTTAGGTTTTTTGGAATCGATTTTTGGGCCTTAAAAGCCCTTAATTTTTTTAATCATCTGAAATTTCTATCTATTTTTACGACTGCCATTTCAAATGTGAATTAGCATTTTGTACAAATATTTTTGCCAATTCATTGATATAGTTATGTTTTGAATGGGTGAATAGGTTCATGGATTAAAATTTTTTCCAGTTTCTAATATAAACAGTGATACCCTCAAGTTTCTGAGCAAGAAGTGAAGCATAAGCATTTCAAAATTATTTAATTTTTTCTAAAGTAGAGCTCTTAGACAACTTGTTATTTTTGAGAATCGCAGCTGTTTATTAAACGGTTTCAAATTTGGCGACTTATCAACATTTTGGCAATTTTGAGATCAGTTTCTATAGAAAATTTTTAATTCGAAAAATGGGAATTCTTCGCGGATTTTTATTAACCATTATAACATTGATCAGTTTCTTTAAAATAATGCTAATATATTGAAAGGAATAACATTAAAATGAAACATTTTTATTTTTCACTATCATACTTGTATTATAAAATGACATTACTTTCCATTTGGACTTGTACATATTGAATCTGAAAAATAAACAAGGTAAGTAATGCTTAAATTGCATTTTAGCACAATTTATTAAACAATTCTTAACAAAAGCAAAATAGTTATGACATTTTAATTTTTTCATAGTAAGAGTTCCCCATGTAATTGTCTCAATATGCATCAATTTCTCTATAAAATTAATTTTACACTTTTTTTCCTCTGGTTTTTTCCAACATATTTCTGGTGTTTTCCTGTTACAGAATTGGTAGGGGTAATTTTTCTTTAGGATTTCAGACATTGCAGCTTGGAAAGTTAGAAGAATTTGAAGGCAAGATGTATAGACCCACAAATCTAGTAGATTCCAGAAAAATGTCTTCATGGTATTAATGTGTAATGGATGCATTTTACAGAAAGTTTGTGATGAGCTTTTACTTTTTGGAGAATTTTCGGAAGAACAATGAAAACATAACCGTTGGATGTTTTATAAGTCTTTTTCTTAATGTGTTTATGAAGCGTGGAAAGTATAAAAAAGGCTTCTAATCTTATCATAATGACAGGCATTTATAGGAATTTTTCTGTTAATGAAGAAATTGAAAACTGACAATTATAAAGATTCATCTTATATGCCTCAATCATACCTGCCAACTTTTACGAATTTTTCGTAATTTTTAGGAAAATGCGCTTGTCTTTACGATTTTACGATCGTAATCCATTTTTTACGATTTTTTTCCTCTTTCAAGTGTTTTTAGTGCTTTTGTCGAAATTTTAGAATTTTTCGCCAATTAGCAATTTTCGCCATTGCATCGTGTTTACCGCAACTACCGACTACTTCGAATCCAGTAACCAGTGGTTTCCCCAACTCCCGCTTAACCCCAATCCAAGCGCTGACTTGTTTCTCTCACTCTTTTCTTTGTGGGCGCCAGTTATTTTTTTCGCGTTTGCTTCAGCAGCAAGGAATTACTCAGCGAGCTTGGATTGTTGATTTTTTTTTTTTTTTTTTTTTTTGTTTTTTTTTTTTTGTTTTGTTTACGTGCTCGAATTCTTAATACGTCGTTGTTACGAAATGAGTCAAAACACCTTATTCTCAATGTTTTTGGCCTGCCTACAAGCCGAATTTCCAACAATTAAGAACCTTCAAAGGAAATAACTAGCTTTTTGCACGTGTGAGTGTGTGACTTCATAATAAGTCACGGTGGAAGAAGCGACATGTGAAGCATGTTAAGTCTTAAAAAAGCATGAAGTTAATGCTTCGGCTTTGACAACATCAAGAAAGTGGATGATTTTTTTTTCAGATTCGGATGCCGATGTCATTTTGGCAAAGTGTTTGTTTACTCATTCCTCATCAACACAAAGTGCCGCTAAGCGCTGCGATCACGCGGTCACTTCAGACGGATGTTTCCCGACTCCAGGATTGCTCAGAAATATGCTTGTGCTCGCACAAAACATCTTCTATTGTGAACGAAACTGCTTGCGATGCACAAAGAAAACGATAGCGCACTCCAGAATTTCAGCATTTTCGGTGTCAATCGTGGCAGCAACGAATGCGTTGGAACTTACCGTTGTCACTATTTTGATGTTTCTAATGAATGAAACTATCTTTTGCGTCTTCCATTGTTAATGGAGAGCTAAGGGGGAAAATATTGGCCTCTTGGTAATTAATGAGTTGAAACAACTTACTCCCAATATCAAACGCATTTCATTTGGTGCAGTAATATCAAGTCATGGTGGGGTGACAAAAAGGGTGTTAGCTCTTTCCTCAAAAAAAGAACAAAATGAATTAATTGTTATTGGATGCCATGCCCTTAATTACGATAATTTGGCAGCAGAAAAAGCTGCGCTGTAAATTTCACACAGTAATGCTGATGGAGAGATTCTTCAGAGTTGTGAAGAAAAAAAACTATGTTTCGTTCTTCAATTTCACCAAAAATAGAAAACATTTAATTGCTAAATGTTATGAGGAAACTAATTGTTATGACAGGAAATTTTCCAAAGAATTTTTGGCTAAAGCCAAAAATGCACTCAAATTCATTGCAAATTTTTTTTTTTGTGTAACATTGTTCTTGTTTCATGTTTCCTAATAAATTTGTGTTACTACTTAATTGAGATTTATAATGCAAGTACAATTCTTGTTTCTTTGTATAAATTGTTATTTTTTTGAATATCAAAGCATGATATTAATTCTCGTGTTCTTCTGAATTTTGGAGAAATCTTCTGAATTTTTATCTTTAGAGGTTGGCAGGTATGCTCAATGCATCATCAGGGGCATAGTTAGGTTGGGGCAAGGGGAGGTATCTGGCCGCAGGGCGCAGCATCCATGGGGTACGAATTCTATGTTACAAAATTTTTAAATGAATTTTTTTTCCTTTTTGGCATACAGAAGGGGGCACAAAATCTTCATTTGTCCCCAGGTGCTAAAAACCCTAGCTACGGCTCTGTACAGGGCTGGCACTGCACATTTTCCCTCCTGATGCAATCTTTGTGGATCCTAAATTCTAAAAATTCTGCTACACCAGCTCTTACCATATATCATTTCATATCTATTCTGAATGTTTGTATTACTAAAGAAATAAAAATTATTTTACATTTTTCTTTTGAGTTTTTTTTCAAAAACCTTCTGCCCTGTTGCTGTTACAGAATTAAGAGGAATATTTTTTTTTAGGATTTCAGATCTTGCACCTGAGAAAGATTTGGAAGTGGCACAAAATGAAAAATGTTTTCATTGTATTAACATGTAATGGAATTAATTTACTAGAAATTAGAGATGAATTTCTTATTTTGGGGAGGATTTTTGGAAGAATGCTAAAAGCGTTATTACTTGAATTTTTTACTTTTGATCCTGCAAGTCTTTCCGTTAACATGTTTATCTTCCTTTTGTGGGTCAGACAGTATAGTGATTAGTGACGCTGACTATTGTACTGAAGGGCCTGGGTTCAAATCCTAGAGAAGGCCCAGATATATGTAAGTACACTGGTATGCAAAATTTAAGCAACATGTGTTCTTTTTGGCATAACTCCACAAGAAATCATCTGAGAGACAGCATTTTGTATTTAAACTATGATGAAAGCATAGTTGTGCAAAAATGAATACAATGCATACAGTATGGAATCAAACAAAAACAACCTTTATTGAACTCGTAGTGTTGTTACACGATTCTCTGTACAAGAGGAAGAACAAGCAGATGTTCCTTAATATGGGATATGCCCTCCCCTTACTACAGTGGTTGCTTCGCACTGTCTCTTCATACTCAGCACCAGATTGTCCAACAGATCTTTAGGTAAGAGTGCCCATTCCTCAATCAGCGTCTGTTTCAGTTGTTGGGTGTTCCCTGAAGGATCTAATCGTACCAAAAGGGGTCTCCCCAAAGCAACCCACACATGTTGTATGGGATTTCAATCAGGGAAATACTCTGTCCAATCCATTTGAGTGATATCTCGAATGGATCAGTAGCTTCTGAACAGCAGGAGTCTGGTGTGGCTGTGCATTGTCATCCATAAAAATGAAGTCTGCTTCAATTGCACCTCGGAACAGATGCATATGGGGAAGGATCACCTCCTGACAATAGCGTTCTCCGGTTACAGAACCTCTGTCGAAAACGTGGAGCTCTGTCTGCCTTTTCAGCATAATGCCTTCCCAGACAAGAACTCCAGGACCACCGTAACAGTCTCTTTCCGTGATGTTACCGAGATGAAGCAGACTCCCGCCCTCTCTCTAAATAAACTGCCGTTGAGAATCGATTGTGGCACTGAAACAGTTCTCATCAGTAAGGAGGGAACAACTCCATTGATGAAATCCTGCTTTTGTTCCCTTGCACCACTCTAAACAGTGGCACTGATGACCAACTTTCAAAGGGATGCAGTGTTCAGGACAGTGGGCCACCTTTGTGAAGGTGTCTGGACATAGTAAACTAAGACACTTGTCACCTTTTGCTGTATACACTTGCTGAGCTTGGCACTTGCTGATTGGTTTCGGGATCTTTTTGCCTGCACGACGATATATTGGTTTTCTACTGTAGTTGTTTTCCTGTGATGGCCACCACCAACCTTTCTAACAGCTGTACCTATGGAAGGCTTTCCAAGCACGTAATACACTTTGTTGATTCTGAACCCTTCGGCTACACTGGTCGCCCTACACCCCTCCTCCAATTTTCCGATCATTCTTTCATGTATGAAGTCATCCAGGTGATTTTTTTCTAGCCATATTTTGAGAAAGAGCTTACTCGTAGCGAAAGTCTTTAATTGTGTCTCCGTCCGTCCTTTTATGGTAGTCTTGAGTTGAGCATGCCAACCACATGCAATTTGCATACGCTCACAGCGCCTGTGACGGTTTGTTCCTGACATTTGCACACGCATGACCTTTCTACTGAATTGCATGTTCATTGTACTGATCACAAGAACCCCTTTTCTGCAATTTCATGGCTATCTGATTAAAATTCACAATGTGTCTTTCGTTTTGCACACCAGTGTATATAGTGTCTGTGCGGTATGAAGGCACTCAATATGTATGGCAAGCTATTTTCAATTTTAAATTACTCTTTAGGGGTGGTTTGATGGAAGAGAGATGGGAGACTCATATGAACTTTTACCTTGGGTTGTTGTCCTTCGAAATTAGGGTGAAACAGCAAAATCGTACTGTCATGTACATGGTGCTTAATGCACATGCCAATGACAGATGCGGTCTTGTACTCCTGCCGCAATAAAATTTGTGGTCTTATTATGAAATATTATTTCACAATCTCATCAGGTAAAGTATTATTTATTCTTGTAATACAAATGTACGACTGAAGTTTTAGGGACAAAAAAAGTCCATTTTTGAGTTGCAAGTATAAAGCATGCTATGATTTTTCTTCAGGATATTCTTCATCTCACTTGTCCATCAAATTTTGTGAATCAGTTTTATATAAATCCATCTGTTCACTAAATTCTTTACTTCTATATAAAGAAAACATTCCAGCATTCAAATTTCTCATCTTAGAATGCATTAAGAGAAATTAATTTCATGTTTAATTTTTAAATCTTTATTTTTAAATTAATATTTTTTATCTTGTCCAGAGACCAGCTCCAACTCAGTACATACGGGAGGTGAAAGAAAGTGCTGATTACTATGGGAACCGTGTCCTATCAAGAAAAAAAGGGTAAAGAAAGCTAATTTTCTTAAATATTTTTATTAAAATATTGTTTTTAAGAATGTTCTTATGTTTTCATGATTTCTTAATGATAAAAATTATGGCTTTTGTTGTCTTCTGCTGTACATGATGTTTCAAGAAGAAGCAAATTTCACTTACTTGCAGAAGTGAGGAATCGATGTACGATCTTGGGAAAGATTGAAGATTTTCTGTAGCAAAAATTCTGTGTATGCTTTTCCTCTAAATTGGCCTGCATGCTGTTTGTGCCCAATAGTAATGGAATGAACTGCTGCAACAGTTCAAAAGCGAAGCAGAATTCTTGTATTATGTTGCATAAAGATGTCATGTTTAAGATCTTTTGGAATGATTCTGTAGAGGAGATGTTCTCAGTAGGGGAAATTTCCATAGTTTCGGGGGGGCCCACCAGTGGCCGAGTGGTAAAGTCGCTGAACACTGGTAGTTCGGTCCGAGGTTCGAATCCCGCAAACAGGCTGGCTGCATGGGTGTTTTCTTCATGTGTAACGTGTATACGAGCCAGTTTCCCTTAGAAAGTCCTCCACAAAGGCATCCCTCCTCTTAGGCAGATAGCCCTAGTGTGCTTTGCCATAATTAAATACACCACACCACCATAGTTTTGGGAGGTCAGACATTTATTTACCTATTAAAATTTAATTTTAGTTTATAAATGAAAAAGCTACTTAAATTCAAGTTTTGGTATTCAACATTTTCTATACTTGTTGGATTTATAAAACATAATTTTTTTTTTTTTTAAGGGGGGATGATTTTCTAACTATGGTGAAAAGGGTGCAAAAAAGGTTGAGAACCATTGCTGTGGAGTGTAGATGAAATAAATCATCATATGTGAGATTTGGAGATTTTGGAGGCATAATTTTACATGCTTGTATGACTTGAACAACATTGAACATTTAAAAGCTTAGGTAGCATTCTAAAAATAACTGAGTGTGGGAGCATAATGTTTCTTTATTTACTTACTGATAGTTTTTGGTATATTCTTATATTGCAAGAAATCAGTTCTGAAACTGATTTAAATCTGCTTTTGCTTAAAAGTGTCTTGGAATATGTGCAGTTCATTCTAGTGCACTTGTCTTTCTGTACCTTATGCAGTTTTAAATAAGGCAATTTTAAGCATGCATGACTGACAGGTAGTATTTATAATATTTAGATATATAAATGTGATGTTGAATATTTAATTATGATATTGAAGTAAAAGTTTGTAAATGTGTGCATAAAATTTTTCCAATATTCACATCTCTCATTCTCATTCAGATTTTTGTGTACTGTATTTTTGGTAATATTTCTAGTATGAATGAGAGAGTTAATATTTTCGTTCCCAACCAGTCCAACCCAGGTCCCAAACTGGCAAATAGGCTGGAGCTTTTTCAGATTTTATCATGTATACATGAATACAATTATGTTTTCATCAGAAAGTCCCTCCATAAAGGAATCCTTACCTAAAGCATGTAGGCCTCATTTGCTGTAGCCCACCAGTGGCTACGGAGTAAAGTCGTTGAACAGTAGTAGTTTGACCTAAGTTTGATTTTAGGTAAACAGCTATGCATAAATACATGTGAATTTTTGTGATTTTCCCCTGTGTGTAATGTGGATATGAGCCATTTTTCACTTGGTCCTCCATGAAGGCTTCCTTCCTTAGGCAGATGTCTCTATCATGCTTTGCCATAAACAAAGAAAGCCAATTTCTTGTGCTTTAACCTAACTTAGCTTTCTCTAAACAGTACATTGCAAAATTATTGTACTGTTTTACTTTCAAATTACACAGAAATTCATATTGTGTAGGTAATCTTCGTACAGTTCAAGCATATGATTTATGTGCGAGTGTTATAAATGTGGCTTGAAAATGTATAACTCTTGTATAATATGGGGGACTTGCAGAAATAAAAATATAAGATGCAGGGCTTCTGTAATTTAATTCATACATTAGAGATTTATGTAGTAAAGTAGAAGACAAAAAAATCTGCCTAGATTGTGACTTAATGTTGTGGATTTTTGATTTCTGTAGATAATGATTGCGAAATCTTCAGATATTTTTTTTAAGGGAGAATAAATTTTAAAAAATCGAGCAGGAAAAAAATGCTTTAAAGCCATAATTTTCTTGTTGACTTTTTTTTATTGAGAAATGCATTATGGTTTTATGCAAAAAGAAGGTAAAGATGAATGGTGTATAAAAGGTTATTTTTTACACACATGTCTTGCTGTGTAAAAATAGCTTTAGGTTAATTTTCAGTGTATAGGTATCAGTTTAATGATTTGGGGGTAACATTTTGTGACAGGTAATGAGAGCAGTAACCAATGGTATATGTTAACTTGGTTCCATACAGAAAGAAACCTGCACTGAAAGCCATCCACATTTCACTTTTTCATCTGAGAAGCTTTTCAGACTTCATGTGTTGCAGAATTTTGTTCTACTATATATATTTTATTTTTTATGCAACGTTGGCGATAAATTGTGTACCTATTTTCAGATAGATTAATTGCTGGCTAATGTTTTTGAACATCTTATTTACATGTTTTGTTAACTTTTGGTCTTGCCATATTCAAGAGTAACTTTATAGTGTTTGTTTTTCAGTGACCAAAGACATATGAATTTTATAAACAAGTGGAAGGAAGTTTTAAGAGCTCTTGAGCAATATGTAAAAGCTTTTCATTTAACTGGATTCTCTTGGGGATGTGCAATGGATTCAGTGGAAGTGAGTGTCTCAAGACTGTAAAACACAAATATATATTTATTTTCTTAATGGCAGAATACTTGCTTTCTAAGCTGTTATCAGAAATATCTGAAAAGTGTCATTCCTTTTACCTCTCATCAGCAAGAATGTTATGAATGTGCAGAAACGAGCTAACTAGTATTTATAACTGGTTAGCTCGAAACCAGTTATAAATACTGCAAAGCTGGGAAACAGAAGCTAATACATTTATAGTCAAGCATTATGGGGGCAGTCAGCCTTGCTTTGAAACGAGCATTTAGTTTGTGCTAATGGCTATACTCTCCAAAGCAGTGCATGCATAAATAGATAGATTAAATTATGTAATTCTGCAAGTGTAATTTCCTATTTTTCAAAGTTTTTTAAGAGAACTTGTTTGTTAATCTAATGGGAGATTTTGTTTTTTACAGTTTGAAACTTAAATGAAAGGAAATAACCAAATTAAAGTTCATCATATTAGTTTTAATTATTTTAAATAGGAACTTTAATTTAATCCAGTCATAAATTGTAAACTTACTTCCAGAAATGTTTGTTGTAAAATAAGAGTGTAATAAAAACCCACAAGTGGTTAAGACCATTGAATACTGGAAGTTCAATGATAGGTGAGTGAGCTGCCTGCATAGTTGGTGTTCTTCATATGTAGTGTGAATACAAGCCAGTTTCTCTTAGGAAGGTACCCCACAGAGACATCTCTGACATTAAGCAGATATGTATCTTTGCCATTTTCAAGTAACCTAATCTTTAAGTGTATGAGATGTCAAATATTTTGTTATTAGGTCATAAATGAAATTTTGTATTGGAATCTGTGCTGTATAAAGTTCTATATTAATAATTTGTTTATTGTTTTATTGAGTTCTATGCATGAGTTTTTTTTTTTTTTTTTTTTTTTTTTAATTTTGTGAACAGGAAAATTCTATTTAGTATCTCACTTCCAAAATATAAGTGTTGTATAGCTTGCAAATAAAGGTAAAATTTAACATGAAATTTTTGTGTTAATATTTTACATAAATATTCGTTTGTTATTTTTGAGGGTTTTTCCCCATAGATCTAATGATATTTTTTCAGATGTACTCAGTATTAGCATCAGTAACTATAATCTGAAGTAAACGTGTGTATCTTCATAGCTTAACATTACATCATAATTTAAATTACTAATTACATTTGTTCTGAAATTTTAAATCAAATCAAAATCTTAAATTTTGTTATGTCAGCGAGAAGGACGCCAAGTGCATGGTGCTGTTCCTCCTGTTCCTCCTCCTCCTCCCCCTCCGAATGTTTGTGACTCTCTTGTTGGTGGTGATAATCGTCATGCTCTACTGCAGGAGCTAAACCAGGGTGTGGATATTGTGAGAAGTAAGTTTATAATTCTTTTTTTAGCTAGTTTATTCTGGTTTTATTCTATACAGATGCAAAAATAAAAGGTACATTAAGTTATTAATGACAGTTCATCAAACAAATAAACTTTTATGATGTCTCCTTCCTTTAAATTCAGGGTCCCACTAGTGGGTGAGTGATGAAGACCGCTAAGTATGGGTAGTTTCAATATGGGTTCAAGCCCAGGCCATGTTCTAATACCATAACATAATAAGGGAAAATATTTGTCCCGTATTTTCGTATGCATTATGTCTCAGCCAGTAAGGTATCAAAAGACCAGAAACTTAGGCAGTTTCATCTAAAAAGACCATTTCATTCAAAGGGCTGAAAATGAAGTAATGAAACTATTAACCCGCGAGCACACACACCGATCCGACGAACACGAGAACACGCGCCGGGTATGTCATAACCGAATAAAATAAAATTTGTTTTTAAAAGAAAGAAAATTAAAACAAAAGTTAATACTCATTTAGACAAAAATGAAAGAATTAAGGAGAGGTAAATTATTACTTACAATTTTTTTAACATGTTTACAAAATGAGGTATAGGTTCCATACATAACTTTTGCTACAGTTTCACAATGAATCTGTCTTCTATTTTTTTGGGGCACTTGTACACCTTTGTAAGTAATTTAGGTTTTTTGGGAGTGGTTCTTTGTTAACATGTTATCGAGGTTGTGTTTTCTATAATCAGGAACTACAGATGCTCGTCGTCGTTCATTTTGAACACTTTCTATAGCTGCATCCAAGGCTTTCAGAAAGTACGCCTGGTATGGTATTCTGTGGGGGTCCTTCTTGATAGTAGAATTATATGATTAATGGCAGCCACGTTAACACTGAAAAGAAAATCACCATAGGCCATCGACGTTGCTACTCTTTTAGAATACGCAGCTGCCATCTCATCTACAACATCGATGCTCCTTTTGTTGTTGGATGTAAGATTTCAGGCTTTTTGATTCCCAGTAGATTCGTCGTTTGATCACCAATGCATTGGAAACAGGATCACACTCTTATTTTTTTTTGGACATAATACAAGTGTGTTCTTTGGAAAACCGAAAAGAAGATATACTTCTCTTTCGTGCCAGACAACAGGTGGGATTCTCTCTTATTTTACGCATGGTACCTACTATCGTATTTGTAGGAATTTGAGATAATTCATATCCCATATACAATTATCAACTGTTAAATTCGACCACTGTTGTATAAGAGCCTTATTAAAGTTTGATAACTTGCGCATCATTTTCAACTTGAAATAGCCCATTGGTTGTTTACCGATAAATTTTCATTCTCCAGGCATAAAATACCCTTGCGTCTACAAGAGCAAAATTTTATGCCATACTGGCTGGTTGGGGATATATGTTGAAGGAACAGAGCCTCTGAATGATTCCAACTCTCATCAATGGTACATACTCTCCTACAGTATACACCTTTGGCATTTGTGACAAAATTCTAAAAAATTCTTGACGGAAGCTAATTATCAAAGTCTCTTCTACTGGGACGATCTCTAATGTCATCAAAACGGAGGCGTCGTAAAAGAAAGAGGAATCGGTTCACTGATATTGTTTTCCGAAATTAGGCCTATCCTTTCCTGTCCCGTTTGTTGCCCACAAATCTTTTACGTTCTAATGGGATGATTTATAAACTCCACATAAATACAGCAATCCAATTAAATCTTTGATTTCCAACTCATTCGCATTCCGTTCACGAGTGAAATTTCCACGTACTGAATCAATATAAATATTTGCATTGTCGACTACCTGTTTTAACATATCTTCATCGATAAACAGTGACCAGGAATCTAAGAATTGAGACGTCTTTAGAATATTTCGTATTTCCAGGGAGTTTAGTTTAATATTTTTGGCGCCAATTCTAACATTAGTCCGGATTTATTTTTGTTCATTTACTCCACGACTCTCTATGGATGAATCTGATTACTATTATATTCTTTGTCATCACATCTTCATCGTCTTCACTAAATGAATCCTCATCAGAAGAAATGTTTCAAGAAGATTTCTCATCTTTTCATCTCTTCATCGTAAGGAATATACGGCGCATGCTTACAACTCAAGAAAAACCTATACTAGAAGCTTGAAAACAAGAAGTGCGAAGTGACTCACTGAGAAATGCGAGTACACGCGCGGGTATGACATGCCCGAACAATGCTGTTCATAAAAAAACCGTTGCACCTGTTACCTCAGGAATTTCCCCCATTTAAGTATGTGACCTTGAACTCAGCTACACCAAGTTTCGTCCTTTTATGAAAGAAAGGGTGAAAAATATACAAAAAAAAATGCACTTGGGTACGACATACCCGTTGCGTGTGCTTGCGGGTTAAAGGCACATTCTGTATAATAATTCTTATTAAAGGAAAATTTGCATACTTGTTAATTTTGAACCGAATATATTGGAGCTGCTCTCTTTTATTTTGGGGGGGGGGCATATTTTGTCACACATTCAGTTTTCTTCGTTCTAGCACTGGAAGCTTTCCATTGGGTTTGTTTTTCCCCCATGTTGGTCACTTTTTTATTTTCGCTTTTTTAATTTTATTATATACCGGTATTTACCGGTATAGTAAACCACGTGCACATATGGTACAACTTATAGAGAGGAATGTCAGAAGGGGTGCTGCACATATACACTAAGCAATTTGGTGTAATCTATTGTCCAGTATAGTGTGATTTCAGTGATTTTGTGTAGCCACTTCCATGTGATATGGCCAGCAGGCAGTCGGGAGACATCATCTAGGTGACTTCGCCTAGGGTTGTGTCACTGATAAGTTAGAGGAACGTGACAAGTGTAGTAGAGAAGTTCAGTATCAATCACAGCATTTTATGTGCCTGTATAGCATTTCAAACAGCAGGAACAGCTCTTCAGATGACTGGTATATTTTCCTACTGGTGAAAAAAGACAGGTATCAGGCAGCAAAAGAAATCATCAGGCATATGCTGCACAATGACTAATACGGCATTTGTTTCATTAATGCCTGCTCATTATAAATGGTTTGTGTGGTGCTTGGAACACAAGAACTGGACACAACAGGAATGGGCAGCGAGTGATCTTTACGAATCAGAACTAACTTAGTTTGAAAAGAAATTCTGGAGAGAAGGCAATATGCAGTCAACCCTCCAACATTATCAAAAAGGAACGTTTTGAAGTTCTCATTTGGGATGAAATCGTACTTGGTAACCCTACTGACCTCCACATCTCCCAAGGAGTGTTAGTCACTAGTATCTGCTATTTTACTGAGGTCTCTTGTCTCATGCACCTGTTTAGAAGTGCTGTGGGTCCAGACTTCCTCTCCTTGGATGACAACTATTCATCTCATTGTACAGTAGTTGTTGCAGATCTCTTCAAGAGTGGAAGTATTCAATGCATAGATTAGCCTGCAAGATCCTCAGACCTAAATCCCATAGAACTATGTGGGACTCTCAGGAGACACTTGGCAGCATGTGACTGGCCACCAGCAACAATTTTGCAGCTGAAATTGATTCCACAAGAGTGGGCCGTGATGCTTCAACAGCTCACTCCTTGGCAACCTTATGCTCAGCATGGATGGATGTAATTTCTGCATTGCAGTCAGGAGTCATTGTATCCCGTTCTAAAGACTGGATTTTTCTTGTAAGGTGCCCATCACAAGAATTTTTGTCTTTTCAGTAAAATACTTTTTCATTCTTTATTTGGAGGCTTTTGGTCACTAGTCTCACATTTTTATGTCTTGGAGGTCTTGTGTTATGATTTGGGTCAATGTGAAACACTTCATGACTTTACATTCAAAAAAACCTGTCTTGTCCTTAAATTTTGCACGTCAGTTTGCTTTCCAAATGCAAATCACTGTTATCTTCTTCCTCTTGAAATCTTATGTCCTATAACTTTTTTACCTCTTAAAGCTAAATCTGAGAAGGTAAAAATGATGGGCATCCATTATATGAAGTCTAAATGTAAGAAATTTTCAGTTGCAGGAAAGTAAAAGAAAATTACAGTATTAAAATATAGAGTGATTTTATGTTCATAAAAAACTAAGAACTTAAATTTCACTTGTAAGAAAGCCAAAATTTGTCGGCCTAATTTTATATATACATAATTTTTACGTCCTGATAGTTCAAGATTTATTTAAAAGTGATAAATAACCATTATGTTTTCTTACATCTAAAAATTCACCAAAGAAGGCATTTCTGTTCCTCTCATTTTTCCAGTGCAGATAAGGTATTTCTGGTGTTGAGTGTCACCTGGCCATTGCTATATTACAGGCAGAATATTTTAAGAAGTATGTGACAAATTCTAAGAACTTGTAGAACATGCCAAAATAACTTTTCCCCCCAATAGAATGCATAATTGAAAATAAAATATAAAGGCACAAGAGAGCAATTTTCTTGCCAGCAAGTTCATAAGCATTATTATGCTGCAGCTTCAACTTTTGAGGCAATGGATCATTACATAATTAACAAGAAAATGGATAAGCACTTCAGAATTTGTGGTATATGTTCTAGCTGCTATCCAGAAATATGCAAGCTCCAGCAGGCTGGACCACCAGCCCATTTTCAGCAAGGACATAAGTAACTATCTGGTTGTTGGGCTGGTCAGAGTAGTCACATACCTAAACTCGCATAATTACTGGATTTGTCATGTGCTGACTTTTTTCCAGGGGACATCTAGAAAGCCTGGAATGTAAAATCAGAGCTGCAAGCTATCTGTGACTGTGCATCAAAAGAAACATTTCTGGAAATCTTTGCTTTCTTGATATCTTATAGGTTAACTTGTGCAAAACACAGTTGCAAACAAGACATTTTCTCACCAGTGTTGCAAAATGTCTTTATGTGTAACCAGGACATATCTCCTAGCAACATTGTTTCAACTAAACCCTCCTGTTATGCTGAGATCAACTTATTTCATTGGGAAAATTCTTTTCAGAAAGTTAGTTCATTCCTAGGTGTGTGTGGTATGTTTGAAAAAGTCTGCTGATCCTTCAATGAGTGTTGTGTGTTCACAGTTGCTCTTTTGAACAATTACCTACAGTAATTGATCAAAAGAAGAACCAACTTTATGATTATCCAACTAGCTGCCAAATTTATGATTAAAGTTTTTCATATTCTGTCATTTTTGTGTGAGCATCCCAGATCTGTTGCTTCACAATAAAATACTTTTAGTGCTTTTTATGTTTCAATTTTTATTAGTGCATTTTATAACCCCAAAGAATTTTTAATATGTTCTATCACTTAAGTTTGTCTGATCAATTTTTAAACACCTTGTGTGATTTTTATCTGTTTATGCAATTAGAAATGTTTATTTGATTGCATTTATTTCTGTGACTGATATTTTGTTACATTATACAGTTGAGTCTAAAATTTAAACACAGATTATGTCTACATGTAGCGTAGCAGCAAAGTATAAAACTATCTGACATGCAGTATATTAGAGGTCATTGAAGTCTGATATTGATGCTTTACGGTAATTCGCTTATGAAAATCTGAAAGCTTTATCCATTTTGAACCAGTTTCAAAATAACCAAATTTTAAGCTTTCAGCTTTCTTATATAAATGCATTATAAAATGCATTATAAATGCATTATAAAATTAAATTATAATAAAATAAAATTGCAATTAAATGCATTATAAAAAGTTTTGAAAATTCAGACATTTTAAAACTAAGCATTTGGTCCTAAGGATTTACCGACTTTTCCAGTTTGATCGGAAATTACACAATTAAACTTCTGTAGCAGTTAGGGATATTTTCAGTATTTAGGTTTTTAGAATGCTGTTTTCATAGATAAAATTGCTTGAGAATTGCATCTCGTTCTATAAATTAGGATTTTATAAAATGAATATTAAATGTAATGCATTTTGCATTTTCCCTTTTATTTAAACTGTAACTGTGTTTAACGCTCAAGCGTTATGTTGTACCTACTTGCTCCTTAAGAATTCTATTACTTCAGTTTGAATTTTATCTGATTGTTGATATTACTGCTATCACACCATCAACTGGTACTCTTGACTTGATGTTTCGAGGTAAGCTGTTCAAGGCTCCTGCTATTTTGATTGTTTAAAAATACTGTAATATTTTTAGTCATGCATAAGCAATTTCTGTAAATAAATTTTAAATATGAATAAATTGTGTCTTTATGAAGTTTTATTGATCTTTCTAATGTGAATGTAGTATAAAACACTAAACTTCTATTTTTATGTTGACTATATTGAGAATAAGGAATATATGATTTTTAGAAATGTTTAATTGGCATTCAACTTATAAACTCAACAGTTTTTGGATCTGGTGAGATATGGTTTCAGTTTTTACTTCTTTTGTATCAAATCAAATGTCTCTTGTACTTCATCATTTGTAGTCATTCAAATTATGACGATTATGTTGATCTGATGTAAGCTTTAAAATCAGGATGTAAATTGCTTTTTCCTTGTATTCTCAGTAGCAATTTGTAAAATAATTAGCTCTAATATTTTGTGGTGCATGAGTTTGTGATATTTTTCCCAGAAGCTTTGAATTTCTATTTTTAGTGTTAAAACCTGTTAAACTTGGTGATGGCCAGGAACAGCCACCTCATGCACGTGCACCAGTTGCTGCACGTGGTGATGCTGCCATGCCACGTGGATCTGCTCTTAGAAGAATTGAAGAACCTCCAAAATGCATTTTAGAAGGAAGGAAGTGGAGAGTTGTAAGTCAAAAACGATAATTTAAACAAGTATTTTTACTGAGTGGTTTCCAGATTCAATATTTTCTTTGAAGTTCTGTATTCTATTACAGTTGGATATTGGTATGGAACTGACCCATGTCCTGTACGGAAATCATTTATATTAAATTCATAACATATTATTCATCACAGGAAGCAATAAATGCTTTCATTCAAGTTTGTCTGAAATATCAAGTATATGCTGGTGTAATATACATTGATGGGGAAAATTAAAGGAATAACTATAAAAATGTGCTTTATGTCCATTCTGTTAATTGGTAAAGTCCAGTTGGTTGGTAATTCAGGATCAACTTAATTACATAGTTTCAGTGAAGTACTTCATTACACTGAAATTGCAAATTTTGTTTTTTCAGTGTGTATGAAGGTAAGTGCAAGGGGATGTTCTAAATTCTGTTTTGAAGAATTTTACAAATAGCCAGATAAAATGTTCACTTGTTCAAAATGGAAAATATAATGGAGGAGGCATTTGATGGATTTTGTGAAATGGCATTTCATTTATTGAAAGGACAGATACTAACATGCATCTGTAAAGATGAACAAACAGCCTAAAGTGTCATACTAAGAATCTGAAAATTTTTTAAGGAATACGGTGATGTATACAGACTATCGTAATTTCCGTAAGAAACGCTGCGGCATTTACGTGTTTAAAACTTAAATTTTCAGCGGATGCGGCATTTAGGTGCACTAAAAATAAAATATTTCCTATGATGGTCATTGTACATAGTTTGGATGGCCTTGTCATTGTACATAGACTGGTGCTGTTCCCACACAAAAGACCACTCAGTTGCTTTTCGAACGTTATTTTGTTACATTCTTTCCTTTAGCCTTCCTTATTCACCCTAAACGGAATCTCAGAACAATAACAGCCCACCAGCGGCCGAGCGGTAAAGTCGCTGAACACTGGTAGTTCAGTCTAAGGTTCAAATCCCGCGAACGGGCTGGCTGCATGAGTGTTTTCGTGGTTTTCCTCATGTGTAATGTGTATACGAGCCAATTTCCCTTAGAAAGTCCTCCACAAAGGCATCTCTCCCCTTAGGCAGATAGCCCTAGTGTGCTTTGCCATAATTAAATACACACACACACAGAACAATAACATTCTTCCTCCTTTCAAATCACCATTCTCATCAGTTTGAATAGTCTCTCTCCTCTGTCATTTGATGAATCTTCCAGGACCCATCCTCTTCCCAACCCTGCCTTTTCTTCAATTTTTTTCAAAAGCGGGCAGTACTCCAATTGCCTTGCAATAACAAACTCTGACGTATTTTCCCTTCAGCATGAATCGATTTTTCTTGGCATTCTGCCAGGTACAGATCCCATCAGTTTGGGTACAAGTACTTGTTGGATAGTATTTAAGTAAGAAGGGAGCGGAAAATTTTTGAAAATGGCACCTAAACGGTACAGAAGCTATACTGCTGGTTTTAAGCTTAATGTAATTTCACGTGCTGAACAAATTGGAAATAGAGCAGCAGCTCGAGAGTTTGAAGTGGATGAGAGATGTATTCGACGTTGGAGAACTGAAAAAGATCTTCTTAAAAATATGCCACAACAGAAACGAGCCAGAAGAAGGGGTACTGTAAGGTGGCCGAATGTAGGACGGCCTTGCAAACTGAATAAAGGAGCTGCAAGGAAAGGGAATGGCAATTTCGAATGTAAAAATTCACTTACAAGGAAAATTTATAGCAAAACAAATGAATATAAATGATTTCAAAGGAGGGCCTTGCTAGTGTAGCAGATTTATGAATAGAAAAAATATTTTTGTGTGTACTAGAACTACAGTCAGGCAACAATTACCAATGGACTGGCAGGATAAAAAGGCATCTTTTCTAAAATATGACAGATATTATTGACAAAAAAAATTCTTTCACGGATAATAAAATGGATGAAACGCTGTTACTTCGACTCTCTGCAAACAGAAAGTTGATAAACGGGTGCAAAAAACTGTATCTGTGCTTACGACGGACATGAACGAAGTCATTTACATGGTGTTAGCTTGTGCCGCAACGGTGACAAGAAAGCTGATCATTTTTAAACGAAACTTCCGAGGGAGATTTTCCTAATGACTAATTATTTGCAAACGAAACGGTGGATGTGCGAAACAATAAGCATGAGTGGCGACAAAAGTTTGGCAGTGTCGTAAGGGATCTTTTTTTCCAACCAAGGGTTATTGAATATTCCATCCTGCATTTACTTGAGTCGGTGAAAACCAGATGTCAAAATTATCTATGACCATAGCACTAATTCCTGGTGGTTTACAAAATCCTAAACATAGATTGTTCGTAATAATCCTCGAAGTGAGTCCGTTGTGAGTGAAGGATGCATACGTATACTAAAAGCGGTAAAAATGCGTAGAGCATCTATGAAAAGTGGCAAGTGGTAGGAAGTGCGTGGAAATGTAAAACATTTCAATAATAGCAGGGTTCAAAGAAGCTGAAATATATCCTTGATAAGAGCTGAAACAGAGATGAATGTGACGATCGGAAGACTTGACTTAGATCAGATTTACAAATCTTTTTATCAGATAGTGAGAATCTGATTTGATGGCTTCATATATGTTTAGTTGCTGTAATTACTTTTGTAGTAAAATTAAAATTTACTTTTGTCACCAATTTACTATTTTGTTGTTGCAACCATTTTTATAATATAGTCTGAGTATAAATATGGACTTCTTAGTGGGAAAAAAAGAATTATTGAAAATATTTTAACATTTCTTACCTTTAATTTATTTTTGAGTTATGGTTTCATTTCATGCATCTTTCTTAACTGATATGTCATATGTCAGGACTTAGGTTGAGATTTTGTGTCTATATGGCCCACAACGATGTCACATGCAATTTAATCTATTGCAGCATTTACTCCAATGTGGCATTTCTGTGTAATTAAAAATTTTTTCCCGCAATTTTTTTCGAGTGTGCCCTTTTTTCCGGAAATTATGGTACATGTCAAGGTAGAAAATGTGGCACAATAAAACAGGAACTTAACTATCCAAATATGAGCCAAGTGACAGGCTACGTAAAAGAAGGCTGTGCAAGGAAACCCATGTCTTTAGTGCCATTAACTCAGGCTGTAAAATGCACCCAGTAGTATTCGTGCAGAGATCATGATGATGAAGTTTCATGGTATGGGGTCAAGCTGTCTTTGCCCTTGAGTTTATTTTTGTTTGCAGAGAGATTGCAGACATTATAATCTGAATAATACACAGTAATCCCCAAAACATGCATGAAAGGCATACCTGCAAAGATGTTGGGATCAGGGTAAGGGCAGGCATCATTTTGAATGTTTGCGCCAACATTACATTATTATTATTACCAACACAACTGTGAATGCTGAAATACAGGGAGTCCCAAAAAGTCATTTATAGGAAACTGTGTCCAAAAATAAAATTGTGCGGTGCTATAGTGTTATGACTTTTTATATATATATTATATATATATATATTATATATATATATGATTGAAGGAAATAATCACGGTTGCAGAAAATGTTCAAAATTACTTTCTTCCACTACAGTGCATGCTTCACAACTTTGAATGGATTCAAATTCTTTCAAATTGTGGCCTGGTATGTCATGGACATGTGCTGTCACTTCTGTGGGTGGTAAGGTTAATGTATCTGCACAAGAAATCCATAGGAGAGGGTGAGGTGAGGGATCATGGTGACTTTTCAGTTTTCTGTTGCACAGCTTTCTCTATGGGCGGTGTGGATACAGTACATTGCAAAGCGAAGCAGCTGCTTACTTGGAAAGTTCTAGCTTCACTTAATCTGCAGTGCAATTGTCCAAACAATGGATGATTTTGGCAGATGTCAATTTGGGATGAGTTCTCGTTATATGCATCTTGCAGCTTGTATATTTCCATCCATGGCCCGTAAATGTAATGCATACGGCCAGTTCCTCATTACTGAAATGATTCCGCTTTTCATTTTTCAATACACTTGCGAACGTCACCCTCTAGCAGTAGCTGGTCACTGTTTTGAACACTATTTCTTATGTAAAACTTTTTTGCCATAGTTTGACTGACCAACACATAAAGCTTCCAAAACAACCTTTTGGGGACCCCCAGTATGTATAGATCAGTTCCTCACCCTTACGTCAAGTTGTTCAGGAGTACAATCAATTAATAACTTCCTCCTAATAGACAATAAGGCTCATCTCCATCACACTGCAGTAGTGAGCTGATATCCTGAAGGAATATGGGAGATAGAATGATCTGCATATTTCACATTTTCAATCCAGTAGACTGTGCCTGGGATGCATTACTATATCAACTTCCATCATTGCAGCCTGTACTCTAGAAGCTTCAAAGCACTTATGCTTTCATAGTGCAATTGGCTAGTGTGTTTGGCTCATTGAGTACACTTTACTACAGGAACTCCATGACAGTCATGGTGTTTCTGTAAAACTTGCATTTTGGTCAGTGATGAGCACACATTTTTTCTGTGTATGCCTGAAATGTTTTAACACCAGCTTTTCTTTATCCCAGTTCTTATTTAGATATATTTTTTGCAGAAAGGGACAGTTCCGTATTTTGAAGATGAGCCAGATATAAAATGAACATCTTATGCAAGTTCCATGTTTTTAGTTGCAAAATCATTCAAGTTTTATAAATTTTAGTTATTCCTTTAGTTTTTCCTACCAGTTTTAAGTTACATGGCTTATAATAATTAATTTGTTAGATATTAATTACTTTGCTTGCCAATAGATGGCAGTGCCTCTAACCTGACTAGCTAGGCAAGCGCACTGTATTTGTGCTGCGTCACATTCTCGGTACTTTCCGCCAACCAGTAGCATCAATCTCTCTCTTATGTAATAAAGTAATAATTTAATCTTATAAATAAACAGTAATTTATCTATGTTTATAGTCAACATATAAACATGGTGTCAGAGTAACCATGCTCAC